CCAGAGGTCATTTCGGGGGGGATCGCAGTTCCCCCGGGTGAGGTACGGGGGGCGGGGCACATGATGAAGCCCCGGCCCTGCTTCTGGCCCTCATTCAGCCAGGAGGAGGCAGGAGAAGAGGGAGGGTAAGTTGCTTTCTCCCTGCCTCTCCCCACCCCTGCCTGCCTGGGGCCAGGGAGGGCCTTCGCGGGGCTTCCTTGCACTCCTGCCGGCCTTGCAGGTCCACCGCCGGGCCCCTCATGGGGCTCGGCAGTGGAGCTGCAAGGCCGGCGGTGGCGGCCGGGACCGTTGGGGGCGGGGTGTGTGGCCTTATGACACACTTCTGGTGATGTCAGGGGGTGTGGCCTTATGACACTTCCGGTGATGTCAGGGGGTGTGGCATATGCTAATGAGTTATGCTAATGAGTTCCCCTAGCTCTTTTTCTACGAAAGGACCCCTGTGTCAGGGCATCCCTGTAGTACAAATACAGTGCAAAATGTGACTTCAGATCTATCCTAAGAGAAGAACCTGTGTGATGGTTTGTGCCAAGAGAATTGTGGGAAGGTACATCTCCATCCATGCTGTGCCGGGGCAATGAGGATTGCATTGCATGGGGAGGATCAGTGTGGGGTTGGCCACACACGTTGATCTCTAGTGTGCTGCGCATACGCAGCATACGCTGGAGGAGAACCTCTGGACCTTGACCACCTTTCCGTCATGCTGAAGGATCATTTGTAGATATGGCATAATTGCTTTAGTGTCTGCAAGTCTTCTAATTTCTAAAGCACTTGTTGGATTAGTGTGAGGATGATCACAAAATAACATGTCAAGCTTTTGTCAATTCATTTGCAATTTGGCCTGTCTGCATCACCGGGGTGGGGGGGCTGTACGCACCAGCGGGTGATCACGCACCAGCCATTGATGGAAGGAGGTGTGGGGCTGCGGCTCAATGGCAGAGTGTTTGCTTTTAATGCCAAAGTCCCTAGGTCCAGTCTCCAGCAGCGCCTCCAGCTAAAAATATCAAGTACTGGATGATATGAGAGACCTCCGCCTGAGGCCCTAGAGTGCTGCTGCCAGTCCAAGCGGGCAATGCTTCCCTTGAGAGCAGCAGGAAAGAGCAAGAGTCCAGTAGCACCTTAAAGAGCAACAAGATTTGTGGCAGGGGAGGAGCTTTTGTGAGTCACACGGCTCACTTCCTGATCTACCTTGAGAGATCAATGGTCAGTAGCAGGCAGCTTCCTGTATCCCCGCCTGCAAGTGTCCAAGGGGGAGGCACCTCGGTCAGTGGCCGGGACACGAGTGTTCTTCTGAGAGCGATACCAATGTGCTGTTGACTGTAGTACCAAAAAGAAAGAAAGAAAACTATTGAAGGAGAATCCTTACTTGGGAACAGTCATGCCTGCACACTTCACAGATTTACTCTTTGCTACGTGGCTTATATCCTGTGCACATTAGCCATATAACGGAATTTAAAAGTTTGCTTAATTTTTAAAGAATAAGGAAGATTATACACAGTTCCTGTTGCCGTCTATGGACAAACTATGCTTTAGTGTATCATCCCTCTGCAATTTGTCATGAAGTCTTTTCCTAAGGCACTCCAAAGCAGAAATAACTCCGTTCACATTTTCGCTGAGCACAGATTGGCAATGCTAATTGGGAGGATATTACAAAGCAAAGATACTTTATTAAAGCTTAAATCTCAGGCTTTACACTGTAATGTTTGTTAAAGATTTATTCTTATAAAAATGATATTTATTATTTCTTTCTAGGATTAAAAAACAAAGTATAATGAACTCCAACTGTGAAATTAATATATACAAAGAGTTGTTTTGGAGAAAAAAGCATAATCTGATTTAATATAACGAATATTATTTATGAAAGCTGGTTTACTTTTGTAAATGGTGCAATACAGAATCATTACCTACAAATGATAGCTAAGAATGTCAGATGTTTTATTTTTTACGTAATAACTCCTGAGTCTCTTAATGAAAAGCACAATCGATTATATTACATATTTGCCTGGAGAAAGACTTTGGTCTTCTAATAAAGAAATAAAATGCCAGAACTTCCAGCCTGTACCTGCTCTCCTGTTGTTTCCTGTAATGGATGACATTTGACATCTTATTAAATTGGGTCATCTCAGGTCAGATCCTGCACAGGATGAATTGTGCTTATAGTTTACTTCAGTGGGTTTAAGCAGGCCTGGTTTGCGGGGGATGGGTGTGTTCCCAGTTATGAAACCCTTAGCAAGAATCAAAACCCAAGTTGTAGTTATTCTTCAGTTCTCCTGGTTCCCAGTGCCCACTCCTGGGCAAGAGACCTGCATCTTGGGGTCCTTCCAAGAATTACCTTTGATACAGGGGTCATTTTCTGCAGGAGCGCACAGGAGTGTAGCTCCGGCAGTAAAGAGCCCAGGGGGCGGGCACATGTAACAAGCCCCGCCCCCTGCTCCCAGCAGCCCCAGGCAAGAGGAGCATGAGGATCTGCACGTCCCCCCAGAGCTAGCAATCCAAAACAGTCCAGTGGAGCCTGAGCAGCGGGTGTTGCCTTCTGACACACTTCCGGTGATGTCAGGGGGTGTGGCATATGCAAATAAGTTACGAATTATTTGTCTCTGGCACTGCTAAGCTATTTTATCTGCTAAAAACCAATTTTTAAAACCCAAAAAAATAAAAACTAGTTTGTTGCTACCAAATAAAGTGGAGGCCTAGTGGTCAAAGAAGACGGGGACGGCAAAGGATGAGATGGTTAGACAGTGTCATAGATGCAATGAACATGAAATTGAGCAAAATTCAGAGGACGGCGGAAGTCAGGAAGGGGTCGCGAAGAGTCGGACTCGACTGTGCGACTGAACAACAACAAAGTGGTCCCTTACATACGAACCAGCTTTGATTAAAATCATAAACTTAGTCCCTTAAAGGTCTGCTAGAACTATAGCATACTAGTACTTAAAGTGCCACAAGACGTCTCTTCAAAAACAGTGTATGCAGTATGCACCTTGGTGGGGTATATTGCCATGAAGTCCAGCCTCTCTGTACTCAGGAGATTGCAAGGCCCCACCTGGAGGTTGGTAACCATATTGTGTGGAGCACTAAGGCAAAGAGGGTTGCCAGTCTCTGGGAATTTCCCAGACCAACTGGGCAACCCTATGAGAAGGTGGAGAAGGAGAAAACTCTCTTGGCATCATCAGCTATAATTGATGCAAAAAAGCATCTGTAGTAGGCTATCTGTCTTAAGGAAGCTTTGGAAATAGGGTTGCCAAGCCCGGGTTGGGAAATACCTGGAGATTTGGGGGGTGAAGCCTGAGAAGGTCGGGGTTTGGGGGCATCATGCCGCAGAGCCCAACTTCCAAAGTGGCCATTTTCTCCAGGAGAACCGATCTCTGTCCCCTGGAGATCAGTTGTAATAGCAGGAGACCTCCAGCCACCACCTGGAGTCTGGCAACCCTAGCAATTCACATTCACTACTTAATCCTTCCTACTTCAGGTCTAAAACCAGACTTTAGTGGAAATCGAGGCCCTCTGGGATAATGCAGGCCTCTTCTCTGAATTTTCCGCCGGCATTGTGGCTAGGAGTTGCCAGGTTGCTTACCGTTTGCAGTGGGGGGGGGGAGTAGGTCTTGGTCTGGAACATTCGTGCATGTGCTGCGATGATATCACCCAGAAGTGATGTCATCACACTAGGCATGTCGCCGGTGGACGCTCTAGCATTCGGCTTGGAAAAAATTATGATACCATAGAGTTTCATATCTGGGCACTTTGGGGCAGGGGTTCCCCCCACCAGCCGGATTCGGGCCGGCGGGTCAGAGGCCCTTTGAGCAGGCAACCCACCCCCCAGGGGACCTGGCAGTCCTAATTGTGGCAGGGGACACAGATTAACCAACTGGACACTGCCCTCCCATGACCAGTTTACACAGACACCCCCCCCCAACTACTTCTGTCAGCCTAACAGGCAAGGTTCCCCCCCCCATATGGTGCAGTGAATTTGCGTAGGGCTAGTTTTTAACAGCCTGATGTCTTTTAAATCAAAGGAATCTGTTCCGTGCCTCCAAAGTCGCTTCTCTAAAGACCGCAGCTGGCTTTGGCTGCCTTTCCCTGCTGATCTCCAGTCAGGCAGACAGAAGGGAGGTGGGGAGAGAGCGCATGCACCAACCGCTCCTGAGAAGAAATAGCATTTTCTGCTTGCTCCATTCCTTCCGCACCCCTCAATCAGGCTTGCCCTTGGCCAGCCTGGTGTCTCCCTAGTCTCCAAAAGACTGCAGCAATCCCAGCAGGGATCCGTCCATTCACAGTGGGGTGCCTGCGAATGAAGGCAAAGGAGCCCACACCACCAACCGGCACTTCATTTTATTGCCTGCCACAAGTGTCCCATAGGGTTGTCAACACTGGGTTAGGAAATTCCTGGGGATTTGGGGGTGGAGCCTTAGGAGGGCAGAGTTTGGGAGAGGGGAAGGACCTCCCCAGGGTATAACGTAGGGTTACCAGATGTCCTCTTTGTAGAGGACAAGTCCTCTTTTTGGGCTGTCTGCCCTCTTTTGGGCTCTTTTTTTTTTAAACAAACACGGATGAAAATGGCCTCTTGGGGTTGGAAGGTTAGGACCATTCCTACTTAGTAACAACAATCACAGCTTCAATAGGAGGGGTATTTAAAATGAGACTTGTCATCGTCATCACTTGTTTGAAGCAATCTGTCTGGAAAGATGTCCTCTTTTTGCTTTTCAATTGGTAACCCCAGAGGTCATTTCGGGGGAGATCGCGGGGGATCGCAGTTCCCCCGGGTGAGGTACGGGGGGCGGGGCACATGACGAAGCCCCGCTTCCGCCCCCCCTCCCCCCCATGGGGTGGGTTCCCCCGCCCCCGCTTTTGGGGGCCCCAATCGGCCAACTGGCCAACTGGCCAGCAGGGGGAGCCCTGCCCCCGGAGGTGATGTCATCACACTGGGCATGTCATTGCAGGGGACACTCTAGCGTTTGGGTAAAACCTTTATGGTGACCATAGAGTTTTAGTTGAAATGTTAGTGTGTCCCCTGAACGATGTGCTTGGTGTGATGATGTCACTTCCAGGTGTGCTAGAAGACCCTCAGGCACCGGGCTGGAGCCCCCAGCTGGGACGCGGGTAATATAATAATATAACATCATAGTGTCTGTCCTCCAAAGGGGCCATTTTCATCAAGGGAACTGACCTCTGCAGTCTGGAAAGCAGCTGTACTATTGGAGGGGGGGACTCTCCAGGTCCCACCAGGAGATTGGCAACCTTAGCCTCCTACCAAGGGC